GTTTTATTTTTTTTTATAAAAAAAGAAGGGAATATATATATATATATAAGCTACTTCTCAGCATAGTCACCACAGGAATTGAGGCCCTTGTATAGGGAAATAAGTTTTTGTATACCTGTGTTAAAGAAGTCTGCCGCCTGTGAGCTCACTCATGTTTTGACACCTTCCGTCAGCCCCTCATTATTGTTAGAACTCTGTCATCGCAACCAGTTCTTCATGCAGGTAAAACGGTTGTGGTCGCTCGGAGCGAAATCAGGGTTGTAAGTGGGGTGGTCAAACAACTCCCAGTTGAAATACTCTAGCAGTGCTCGAGTGCGAGCAATTGTATGTGGACTCACATTGTCATGGAGGAGCATTACACCGGTTGTCAACATTCCACGCCTTTTCTTTCCGAATGATTGTACGCAGTTTATTTAGTGTTTCGCAATATAATTCTGACGTCATTGTGGTCCCTTTTTGCATGAACTCCACCATCAATATTCCTTTCTTGTCCCAGAAAACAGATGTCATCGGTTTCCTGGCAGACAATGTTTATTTAAACCTTTTTCTGCTTGTTTGGTCAATGTGTGCATCCATTGTTTTCTCTACTCTTTGGTTTCAGCATCCACAAATGAAACTGAAGTTTCATCACTTGTTACTTTTCAGACATGATTGAGAAATTCATCGCCCTACAAAATACAAAAAAGCCGAAGCCATTATTTGCTTTTTGTGCGCACCAGTGAGAATTTCCTAAAAACCATCTTGCGCGAAACTTATGATAGCTTAGGTTAACTGTGATATTTTCGTATAGAAGAGTGCGTGAAATTTTTGGAAATTCACATGAAAGTTCTGAAATTATGAAGAATCGTCTTTCACGAATTTCTACTCGACATTCTGAACAGGAACATCAGTCATTACAGATGACCGGCCGACTACTTCACTCTTCGTCCTGAATAACTTTTCGTCCATATTTGAACATTCTTCAGCACTGTCTTACGGTTCCTTCTCTCGTTACATTTTGGCCATAAACCGCCGCGCATAATTCACAATGAATTTCAGCATCACCCAAGTTTTTAGCGTGAAGAAATCGGATAAGAGCACGAATTTCGCAGCTGGCGGGATAATCAATCGCAGGACACATCATAACTCACTATGTAGAGACAAAAACACACACTAGGTGACCAGTTATATGATGGTTTACAAGTCATGTGACGCTACCTCGCATGCTCGAGTTCTCCCCCGCTCCTAAATTAGTAACTTTCCTAATAGCCCTTGTATATGTTTTCGCTAGAAAATGTACCTTTTATTGCTTTCCTGTGACTAACAAAATTTCATCTTTCTTACTAAAATTTCAGAAAAGACGCAGATCTGTGTATCCCGTACTGCAGTGTACAGTTATAAGGTTGCTTTAATGTACGCTGCTGTTGAGCAAGACTGTCTTGAAGCTGAGTTACTTTGTCTCTCATTATCTGAGTCTGCATGTCACTAAATTGTGGTGCTTGATTTGTTTCGTGGTGTGTCATGACACAATTTTAATTTAAAAGGGAGACATCAATACTAATTATGCAAACAGTAGCATATTTAATGCGAAAATTGAAGTAGTCATCAGTCTACATCTTTCGGAATACATTATTTTTATCAAAAGATTTTCTTACTGCTTCCCTCATGCTTGGCTTACTTTTCGATCGTTAAGATGAAGGCTGTAGGTCCCCCTGAAAAGCTGGTTGATTTTCAACTTGCTAAAGGGCTTTATATCACGGAAGACAGAACACTTCAACTTTACTTATGTTTATGGTAATCATTGTAAGCAGAAATAAATTATTTGTTACTAAAACACTACTGAACTCAAATATGGTTTGCTACCAGTCAACTGTGTGTAAGAACCTGCCATAATGTTCTAACACATGCTTTCTATTTATACTTTTTATTTTCTTTATTTTACCAATTTACAGTATGCGGGTAATCTCTCTGGTCTATTAGAACATGAACTTTGCTAATACCGCGCTCACTAAGGTAAACACCGTTGAGCAACCACTCTATTTGAACTCTGTCAAACAAAATTTGAAAGAGTAAAACATATTTTAAAACATCACGGAATTTTTGGTTTTGTTGTAAATATTTTAATCTGAATTGCGTGTGCGCATAAATAATGCTTTAAAGCACTTAGGGAATATTCCTTTGAACTCAATATCTTTATGTGAGATTTGGACTTCTCATAATAATGATTATGAAGAGTTCTGTCTTCTGGAATAAAACTCCTTGTAATCTGGCGAAAGTCAGCCGAACTTCCAGAGGAATATATCCGTCCAATCTTCAGGAAAGAAGAGTAAACCAAGCAAGAATGTAGCAGAAAATAGGCAGAAAGTAGATACCTTTTGGACCTTTCGAGAAAATCGGAGGTCTGCCTTAACACCCGAACATTGTTGAAGCTGTAACTTGTATAAAACCGTGGTTTTACGGGAGAAGAGAACGGTCTCAGTCTCAGTTTACACTTTATTGAATGTGAACGGTCCGTTTTGACCGTGCAAAAGTAGAGGCAGCGTAGCGCATGCGTTGAATAGCAAAGTTCGGTTTGAGATGGAAGAAGAAGACAGTGCAGTGGCAAACGGTGGAAAGACAGTGGGCAAGAACGAAGTGACATCAAGACCACAAGTTGTAAGACAGTCGATGAAGCAATTTCTGTTTTATACAATGATAAACGTTACAGTATCAAAAACAAAGGCAGGCATTTTATTACTCTACTAACGACGCTGATTATAAGCAAAGCATAGAAATGTAAGTTGGCCTATTCGTGCAAGTCCACTCATCTGAACGCAATGCAAAATTATAACCGAGGTATGGCACAGTTAAGAAGTTCTCCGAGAAGGTATCACAGTTCAGATAGTTGGGAAAGACAGTGGAATAGTAAATAGAACTTGCTTTATCGAAGACATTAAAACAAATAAAATTCGGAAAATATTTGCTGCCGGTCACTTCAGCATCTTTAGTCTTCTGTGAGGATTTTCAGTCTGAATTCGTTTGACTCGAGTTGGGTTATAAGGGGTTTCTTGTGACCGTAGAAACTAAAATTTACCCTGTATCAGTAATAAGGATTTGAAACCTAGGTCTTAATCATCTATAGCAGAGGGAATTCCTCTATGGAAATTCAATATGGTTTACTTTAAGCTACTTACAATTTATAAGTCTTCTCTATGATTTGCTGTTTGATCTGTTGGAATTTTGTGTAGCAAGTGCCGTTAAGCAGACCACCAGCCAGAACATTAATAGCAATATATGTAATTAAACGTCCTGTAACATACACGGCTCTCCGTCCTATATGCTCGAAGCAGGACCACAAGGTCTAATTATAAAACTTTTCTAAGAAAAAGGCTTTATATGATTTAACAAACTATATTACAATCAGTTCGTATATAATTAATGTTACCGTAGTAGGGGGGTACCCGGTCAGAATCTCCTGTCAATCACATCCTTCATTCTGTCTCTTCGGACGAATGGCGAATGTTATACACTTGAAATGACGTCAAGTAGTAACCTCAGATTTGGGCTGTGCTGGCTTTCCACCGCGGCGAACCGGGTTTGAGACCGGGTCAGGTCATGTCAGATTTGGAGTGGACAAAGGGACATTGGGGTAGGTTTCTTCGAGTACTTCGGTTTCCCTTGTCAATCTTGATTCCTCCAATTGCTCCGCAATCACCATCATCTCTCATCTGGGGCTGGTATAAGAGGCCAGTAGTGGCTGCAGTACCAAGCGGACTCAGTTTCACCCCACTAATAATAATAATAATAAACAATAACTCTCAGATTTGGCCCATTTGCTGCTCCTTGTACTCACACGAGATGGTTGGTGGAATCCCAGGATAGGATGCGTATGACCTCGTAGCTTCCGTGTGTGAGAACAGCGATGCGTTGCTGGCTCGGCGTCACGTGCTTGATGTGTGTGAAGTGGTTGTACGCACCCTCCTTAATGCTTGCTAGCAGAAGGAAGCTCTCCCCGTCCGCCGTGTACAGGGGATGCGGCTGGACATCAAGCCAGGTGTCCTCTGACGCGCGCTCCGCGTGGGTCTGCAACCACGGTAATGCCATAAAAGACGAAGGCAGAGACAGATAACCATATGTGAGAGTATGTTTTGGTGGGATGGTATGGAATGGATTTATCTGGCTCAGGATAGGGACAAGGAGAGAGCTCTTGTTAGTGCGGGAGTGAAATTTCTGCAACCCCAAAAGTTCTGGAAAATTCTTGAGTAGCTGAGCGACTGTCGGCTTCTCAAGAAGGACTAAGTTCATCTTAGGTGTTTCAGTTATCAATCATCAATTATTTGTTAATTTTCGAGACTTACAAGGTAATTTTTTTATTTCTCATGAATTATTTATTGTATAGTCCCTTCATGATTCTGAAAATATTTCCTAAAACAACTGACCGCAATTGGGGATAGAAGTAGCGGAGAAATTGAAGAATATGGTGCAGCTGACGGAAATGAAAGAGTTTTGTGCTTTCCGCACTCTGAAAATTGCGCACAGAACTTCGTCCGTTGAGCAGCACTGTGAAACTAAACAAAAAGAAACATTTTCTGAGCGATGGCGAAGGGAAAGGCGACTTTATATCACGTACTTGAGAACAACTAATTTAACAAGCAAACCCTTCCTGCATAATCAATGCACTGCCATAAAGACTCAGTTTCCTGTCACATTCTACACCACTGCTCCAACACGTTTCAGGCAATATTATCCAGCATCGGGGGATTAATACACTAGGTAAAAAGAACCATTAAACTGCTGAAATTTAGTTTTATATATTAGTTATAATATTTAGCTCCATTCTGGATCCGTCTTGCAACCGAATGTGTTAAAACAGGTCTCTCATAAAATATGTTGCAAATTCTTCAAATAATGTAGATGCATAATGTAGGCCCGTGAACTTATTGCCAGAGATGTGGCACATATAGTGACATGAGTTTTAAAGAAAGCTTGGCCTCCATATTTTACAAAAGTTTCCTAAGGTTTAAAAAATACGGAAAACATTTTGCTAGATGTGTCCAGAAATCGAAGCACAATGAAGTACATGGTGACTGTATGAACGAAAATGTCTATGAGCAACAGAAATTTGGCTTACATTCTTGCAAAAATATTTGTCTATGCAAAAGCAGAAACATTATATTTTTACCTCTTTTAGATATCCTTCTTCGGTTTAAGAATGATAAAGTCCGTGAACCACTGCTCAAATCGGCTACTTTAAATTTAACAGTAATTACGTTAGATATTCCTCTTGCTGATATAAAAACGATTTAATTTTTCAAATTCATATTTCCAATACAGTTCTGCTATTACTGATGGAGGACCGAGTATGACTAGCATAAAATATGTACAAAACATATCAATCATTCCGATATACCGTTGCGTGTTTTAATGGTTTTCAGACGGGGTTTGGATTGGCGAATAGATATCTTTGATACTCACAAGTCGTGCAGATAAAGATTACTGTAACTTTAGCACAGAAAATAAATCTTCAATATCTGCTTGCTCAGTTGTGGCTTGGTAACGCTTTAACTATTCAGCCCTCGAACAATGAACCTTGAAGAGTCTTTAGTGTTTCGAATTCGCTGGAACTCTAGATGTCTCCGTACGACTGACTGCCAATGAATTAGGTGTACTTTGCGACCGTGTACGGACCGCGAACAGAACACACACTTGAATGGTTCTTCTGTTGTAATCTGCGTGCTCGTTGCCACGGTAATGCGTGTTTAGCAACTTGTTACCTGGTAGCGACTCGCTCGTGCTATCTGTTGTAACGGAATCGTAGCCATTGCTCATCAACGGACGTTTGGCTGTAGTTCCACCATTCCGGCTTTCAGCCGTCACGTTACAATACTTTTCAATTACATTTGTATGATATTTGTATTGTACACAGAGAGCAAACGGAAACTCGATCAGATCATACTTTACTGATAAGAAACAGGAAGAGAAAACTAAATCGATCAATACTACTCAGAAACACTTATAAAATTCTCAGTATTAAACAAGTTAAATCAATTAAATTATTTAATTTATCCTGTAATGGGGACAGATTCTGCACTGCTGCTATCTGTAGGCAAGTTTGAAAATGATATACCACAAAGCATTATTGTGTGAAAATATTATGTGTAAAATTGTAAATTTGTATATCTTCAGCCATCCTGAAATAATTTTATTTTTAAATTAGCAAGTCCTAAGTAATTCTGTGTTGTGAATTGCAGCGACCAAAATAATATTTGTGTGTTGCTGGAACGTGCATAGTCAGTCCCACCTGATGTGGTGCTTAGACAGAGAGATATAACTTTAAGTATTAAAATATGACAGTCATATAACCACCAAAGGAAACCGAAAGCATCTTTATAAAAAGACATGAACATCAGATCTCACCTCGAAACATGTCCAATTCGGCGCGCGGCAGGAGGTTATGATGCTGATGTTCTGGGGTCGATTCATCCACACGGCTGACACGTGGTTGTTGTCGTTCCCCACCCACCCGGCAGATGTCAGGTAGAACTCCCTGCGATACAGTTGCTAGGTAACACTACTAGACATAAATAATCTCATTCATAAGTCTCTATTAAAATGTTTAAATTAGCTTTTGGCTGCATTTTAGATACTTCTCTCAAAGCTGAGCTGCAAGAAGGTTTTATGTTAGGTGGGCTACAATTCTGCAAAGATTTCTTTTTTCTACTTTATGATTTCTATTAACAACAGTCAGTACGTACCATGAAACCAAACAGAAAGCAAAATGAAACCGCAGTTCTGAGTGAAGACTTACATTACGTATGTAAGATTTGAGGTTTTCACGGCGGTGAATATGAAGAATGCAGTCTTCTTGCATTACGTAATTAGACCTACTCTAAAAAATTGTATACGTAAGTTCTCTGCATTTTGAGTTTCAGTAAGATCAGAGTTTCTATGAAGGGATGAGAATCAGACGCCACGTCTTTCCAAATACGAGGAATGTACGTAACTTCCATATGCCCCCGAAAATATGATTACGCAATATATTCTTTACGTCGTATTCAGTTCTGCATGCTAGCACAAAATAATCTTTTGGTTCCACGTATTTTGATGAACGTAATTTTTCAAACATGAGAGTACTGAGTCAAGTTACCGGTCAGTGCTGGTTGATAAGCATTGAACTCACTGCATGAAGGTGATTGTGACCACGCACATTCCCTCTTAGCATTGAACTCATTGCATGAAGGTGATTGTGACCACGCACATTCCCTCTTGTAGCATGGCTAAGATTACTGCTGAAATGCAATGTCAGGTTATGTTAAACTTTTAATATGTAATATTTCAAAGTGAGATTTTAAATTGTCACTCTTTTGTTTAGTAAAATTTGAAACACTACTCGTATATGGAATTATTTCAAACATCGCAAGTTTAAGAATATTTACTGATTGCTTGCATTTATCTTTTGAATCACTTATTCCTCACCAGTATACACGAATGAAAGTGTCTCAGATTCATAGAAAGGTTTTACAGGCATATCCTAAGGTATATAAATACTCGTACTAAGAATACGTTATCAGTAATAATATCGTATGGATTTTCTGCCTTTGTGATCTGTCTGGCAAAGAAGAAAAAACGGAAACTGGCATTCATAAAGTCTAGAGTGTAAGAGGTTTATATTGGCCTAAGTAGGATTCTTACAAACATAAGTGTATGCTTAAGACAGACAGCTGCTCTAGCAGTTCTGTGCTACACTAATTTGATTTCATTTCCTAAGACACTCTCTAAGTACTGAAGGTTCTGGTATACGTGAATGGGAAAGTTCAGCTAAGTAATAAGCATTACACTGAAGAGTTCTATAATTTGGGATATAACCCCTTGTAGTCCACTGAAACTCAACTGATATTTCCAAGGAACATTTCACCACCATCTTTATGGTAGATGAATTATACAAACAAGGAACCAACATGAAACAGGCAGGAAGCGCAAAGCCTTTCGCCAGACTTCAAACAGTCATATCCCAGAAAATATAACTTTTCATAATCATTGCTTTGAGAACCTCAAATGCAACACAAAAATCTATTTATTTAACTCTCTTGATGAAACTAATGCATTTCAAATGTAACGCAGAAAAATGTAATTCAAGACATGAAAAATCAATATTATATTTCAGCATCCTGTTACACTCACACAATATATATGGACAAATACCGTCTTAAGTGCAACAATTTTATTGTAGTTTTTACTTCTTTTTCCTCCTCCACACTACATGTTTCGGCCCTAAATGGCCATCATCAGGTGTGTATCACTCACGTAACTGTTACACTGCTTGTTAAAAATGTAAAAATCCCAGTCTTTCTAATTGTATAAAATCTTTGTTAATCTACACGCGTCGATTTGATTTTTAAATTAGCACTTTTTAAACCTTAATTCAAGTTAAAATGTCTATAAGATCTTTGTTCTCTTTCTTTTTCAAATTAAAATTTTTCAGGGTACATGCCCTATATCTACGGTGCTGCAGCGGCCACTTCTTGTTTTTATCGCTGTTCATGTGTTGT